TCAACATGTAATGTATATGGGAGGCTGTTTTTTGGCCCTGGGGGAAATTTTAACCCCTATTTGCCCACCATTGTTTTTAGAAAGCCTAGTAAGAGCTTGATTAGGTAGCTCAATTGGTTCTGTGTGGGCTTGGATCTGGGGGTTAAATACTTTGGATTTTTGGAAGTCAACTTTTAATGTTAACAAGGTCTAGTCAATGTTGAATAGACGCTGAGATGTCATCAATAAAAACCAAGATACAAATGTTTTAAGACATGCCACAATTTGCGAGTTATTGGCAGCAAACATGCTGTTTGACAGCTCATGACATGTTGCAAAAACAATGCAACTTTACCAATGACTAATTTGTGCTAAAATGCACTTATCACTTCCTCAACATCCTGTACAAGTCAAGTACTTTTCATAGTTGCTGGCTCATCTTGCTTATCAGAAATCTCAATGCACATCTTCACTGTGTTCACCAGGGATGATATTACACATGCTTTGAAGTTTGTCACATCTCCAGCGGCTGTGCACTTTATGGTTTCTGCACGTTTCATGGTTCATTCGCAAAATGTCAGCATCTATGCTTGGCAGAGCACAACTGCCAATTACATTACTTTTCTAGGGTTGCATAAACGTGATTGGCTAGCATCTGCTTAGGGCTATTTGCATAAAATCACCTACATTGCCTATGGAAAGTATTCAGACCCCCTTAAGTTTCACTCTTCCTTGTATTGCAACCATTTCTAAATTAATTTTAAGATTTGTTTTTTAACTCGATGTCCACACTCATATTGACCGAGCAACAGAGAATTGTTGACATTTTTGCATAAAAAAGCAAAACTGAAATACCACTTCTAAGTATTCAGACCCTTTGTTGTGACACTCATATATTTAACTCTGGTGCTGTCCATTTCTTCTGATCATCCTTGAGATGGTTCTACACCTTCATTTGGGTCCAGCTGTATTTGATTATGCTGAAAGCCACACACCTGTCTGTATAACCCCTTACAGCTCACAATGAATGCCAGAGCAAATAAGAATTATGAGGTCAAATAACTGTCTGAAGAGCTCAGAGACAGAATTGTGGCAATGCACAGATTGTGGCCAAGATTACAAAAAAGTTCTTCTTCTGCACTTATGGTAAGAGCACGGTGGCCTCCAATTCTTAAATGGAAGACATTTGGGACGACCAGAACCCTTCTTAGAACTGGCCGTCCAGCCAAACTGAGCTATCTGGGGAGAAGAGACGTTGTGAGAAGAATATAGAAGAACCTAAACATTACTGTAGCTGAGCTCCAGAGATGCAGTCAGGGGATGGGAGAAAGTTGTAAAAAGTGAACCATTACTGCAGCCCTCCACCAGTTGAGGGTTTATTGCAGAATGGCCCAACACATGAAAGCCCACATAGAGTTTGCTAAAAAAAAAGAAATAAGAAATAAGATTCTCTTGTCTGATGAGACCAATATAGGACTTTCTGGCCTATTGTTGTATGTGTGGAGCAAACCAGGCACTGCTCATCACCTGTCCAATACAGTCCCAACAGTTTTTCAACTGCAGGGACAGGATGGCTGGTTGCAATTGAGGAAAGATGTATGCGGCCAAGTACAGGGATATCCTGGATGAAAACCTTCTCCAGAGCTCAGGACCTCAGACTGGGCTGAAGGTTTACCTTTTAAAATGACAATGATGCTATAGCACACAGCTAAAATAATAGTGACTTCACAACAGCTCCAGGCTTGTTTTTGAAGGGCCCAACCATGTTCCTGGAGAACCCCAACATCTTCAGCTCCTCATTTCTTTACAGAAACTCAAGGAATAAAAATGGCTGTGGCAGACAAAGGAGACACGCAAAATGTGCAGTGCTGGTTTCCCCCAGTAACTTGGTTAACAAGTAAACAAGAGTAAATGGAGTTGAAATTGAGTAAAAGCCTGATTGTTGGTGTGCATGATTGTTAGGTGTAAGGTCTTACTCAACTGAAATCTTTGGGACCTACCTCCTGGAACATTTGAGATGACTTACCTACATGAAACACAAGCTGATGGTTTGCAAAACATGTTTGAGTTGTTACATTCCATTGTTTAATTTTTTTCCCATTGGTATGGTGTGTAGATATGCACAAAATTGTCTGTTTGACTGTTGCGTTTGCATGAATAATGGCACTTTTTCAAAGTTCTGTGCAATAGAACCTTTTGTGTGTTGTATAGGTAGACATCTAATACATTCTAAATATTAAACCCTCAAAGTGTGTGCACACATTCTAAGCAGGGAGCAGTAAGAGCACATATAGAGGAGTGGTCAGCTTTTCATTTATGTATTTGATTATTGCTTCTGGTGCTCAGTAAGCAATTGGGGGTTAGGTACCTTGCTAAAAATATGGAATAGGGCACCACTTTTTTAACATTTTTTCCAACTACAACTGCTGTGCTTGTTTCAAGTCCTGCACCCACAGTACCATTACCTGTAGGCCTATGTAGTCTTTCAAATAACACCTGGGAATTGCTATTTTAAACCTTTTGTGGTTGTTGTGTTGCTTGCCTTTTCACCAGTCTTGTCCAAAGACTAACGTGATATAAAGGATTATAATAAGTCTCAAACTTTCGTGAAGACTACTAATAACTGTTGAGCAGGTGTGAGGTGGAGCTAAACTCTGTAGAGCTGTGGCCATCCAGCAATTGTTTTTTTAGACAATTGAGTTATATGGTTTGGTCCTAATATTTAGAGCACATAACTTGATGGATTTCCTGAATGTGTGCAGTGTTACATGGTCAGTTATTTGATTTTTAAAAAGCCATTTCCAACAGTAAACGCCTATTAAATGGGTGTACCTTTTCTGCAACAATGCTTTGATAGGTACATCCAGGGTATCCCAATTAAACATTGCTCAGATCTTTACATTCCTCCTGCTAGCTTGTTGCTATCTGGTAGTACATCACTTCTCCTGATAAACGCCACACGTGTATATCCATGCACATGATGGATTGACCAAATGTGACCCTGCTCCAAGGTTTAGTTCCAATCCTTTTACCTTTGGTTAGCAGTTGGTTGTAGTGAAGTAGCGCTACTTCATACAGTGCAATGCCTTTTTCTTTTTAGCGAATTTTCTCTTATTGGACCACTGTTAGTAAATTCTTACCACAGCACCCCAGCTATTTCAATGATACTACAACCCAGTCACAATGCCAGTTTATCTACCAAGTTGGTAGTAGGGTTGTAACAATATACCGGTATGACGGTTTACCACGATTTGAACGTGCACGATTATCATACCATGAACAATTGCATATCAACGGTTTTAACCCTTAAAGACCGAGACAGCCGCCCGCGGCTAAAAATAAGTATTGCTCTTAAATGTTTAATAACTTTTGATCCGCTGATCCGATTCATACAATTCAAAGATTGGCATAAAGAAGAGAATCTCAGCTTTCCAGTGCCGTATCACATAACATTCGCGGACTTTCAGAGGCTCCGGAATCAGTGCGGTTACGTCATCAACATTTGACAACGCTGATTTGACAAAGAAACGCTCGTCACTGTGTCTCCGGACAAATCAGACATGATACATTGATGCATTGTCCCTCCTCCATGCCCAGATTGGTTCAAACTCGCTATATCACAACCAATAAGCATAGGTTTCGCTTTTGTTTGTGGACCAAGCTTTTTGAACAACACGGAATGAGAGAAAGGCATACATTTATGCGCGGCTAAATAAAACGCAAAAAAAAAAAGTTTTGCATGAAATAATTCTCATACTAAGTACTTTTGCATGCACAGCAGCACAGAAACATGACAAAACAGTGACACAGCAAAGACGAACTGCTGCTCGTGCTGTTTTCAAAAGACGCAAATGAAGATGCAGCTGTTTGTCTGCATTGCATACAACCACATCCAAATCCATGCTGGCACATAAAACCTAAGGATGTTCCATATTGAATCTAGTTTCGTTATGTAACTATTTATAGTATAGTAAATATTTATATCTATTTTTTACTGAGGATTTGCACCATGTTTATTTGGACTTTGACACATTATTTATTATTTTCTTATTTTTTTATTTGTTCATTGTAAGTGGTGTTGTTTATAGTAACTGAAAATATATTATTTGGAAAAAGTCAAATTTGCTTCACTGTTCTATTATTTTGTAACATTTGTAACATACCGTATACCGCGAAACCGTCAAACCGTGGTATTGTTTTAGACGATTATCATACCGTGAAAAACTCATACCGTTACAACCCTAGTTGGTAGTCCCTGAAAATCTTGGAATTGTTCCTTTCTGGCCAAGGTGTGTTTCCTGATTATCCTGCTCTTTGTACAGTCGCCGTTTTGCAAAGTTTATTTTTGCCTGATGCAGGCCATTTCAATTGTGATTTTTATTTTTTCCCCATCAAAACTCAAGACCATGCATTAGTTTGGTTGATTTGAGATTTCTTATTTTATGAGGTGATACTTCACTGTTAGTACTAGGTCATTTGGAGTTTTGTGTGTCTGTCTGCATTCCTAGCATTGCATTAAACAAATGTTGCATATTTGTCCATGCTACTGTTGCTGTACTCTACTTATTCATTTTAAACACTTGCGTGACAAAAACAAATCACAGTTTTGGGTTCAGTACCTAAAGTTTTATTTAGTAGAATACCTTTGCTGGTGCATGATTGTACAGTTTGTTACGCTGTTATACTGCTGACACTGTATTTTCTGCTGAAACCTTTCTTTTCACTAGACTTAATCCAACTATAGTTTTTTTTTTCTTGCCTACACAAAAACTGGAAAAATGATGTAGTTTACTTGTTTTCTTAGTGTCCTTTATCGTGATTTTAATAGTAACAGCAACCACTAGTCATCATGTGGTCTGGACATGAGGGGACAACTAAAATTAAGCTTTTAGACTATACATTGAATGCTTTGATTACCTTCAGATTACATAATATTAATATGTAGACCTGTTAAAGTAAAGAACTATTTTTAACAAAAAATGTATTTGCTGTTTTTTAAATATATTTGCTTTTTTATGCAGGTCTTTGGGCAAGTCACCTATAATGTTCCCACAGATATGTATCGGATAAGTGAGGTGAGCATTTCATTCCTTTATCTAAATTTTATTTTAAAAATGTGTGCTGTTTTGGTAATAACATGGAATTCTTTTTCAGAGTTTGATAACTAATCCATGGAGGAGAAAACAACGAGGGCTAATACATAAAATGCACCCCTGCAAACACAGATTCTATTTAGCCAGATCCCAGAGACTTCTGTAGGAACTATGGAATGTAATGGTATTCCTGCAGAATCGGAGGACACCTTTGCACATGAGATAGAACAATTAATTGAGAAGGAGAACTTCTCAAGCATGATGGATTTGCAAGACATTGCTGATTCTGACATGAAAGATTTTGAGTCTAGTTCTCTGCAGCACACATGCTTTGAATCATCTTGGCAAGATGTGATAAATGCACCTGATCTTGAACCAGATAAAACAGAAGATAAAGGAGAATATAATAGTAACATGACACCTTGTCCCTTGCCCAACTCGGTAGAGGTTGAATCCACATTGGAAACAAATTCTGACGAGGTGTTGTTAGAAGCTGCATTTGAAACCAATGCTGGTCTGGTAGAGTATTCTGATATAAGCAGCTGCTCTGACTCCGAAACAAATCTTGATTGCAATTTGAGTTCATCCATTAAAGATGACATTAGTGGCAACCAGGCTGATCAGTCTATAGAGGGAAGAGACCAGAATCTAAGTAATACAATTGACTTTTCTGCTGAAGTTTGTCATGGTGCTTTGGAGGCAGATATGAGTGGCATAGAAATGCAGGACACTAGGCCTACAGAGACCATGGAAGAGAGCAAAACTGAAGAAGTAAGCTATACTGGCAGTAACTGCAGTGAGGGCTCAGTTCCTGTGAATGCTGATCATCCATGTACAGAAATGCAAAGTGTGGATAGCCCAAACAGTGTGGAGCCTTTGTCAAACGATGTGCAAATTGAGGAGAGAGATGTTCATTCTTGTGATGTGGAGCAAACACTGGAGCATTGCAGAGAACCTGATACCTCCAATGGTGGTTCCATGTGTGCCTCAGATAATGCAAATGTAGAGACCTCATTCATTTCTAATGGAAATGAAAACTGTTCTGAAATATGCCCAACTGCAGATCCCCCAAATGATTGTCAGTTGGAAAAGACAACCCCAGATACTGAAAACAAATCATCAAAACCTGAATGTGAAGATACATCTGTGATTTCTGGGAATGGAAAAGATTTACCTGAGGTTTGCCAGTTGGATAAAATGGACCCAGAGCCTGAAAAAGCATTACTAATGCCTGAAATTCATAAAACTGATGAGATATCCAACTTCGAAAATGATTCACTTGGTGGCTGCCAGTTGGACAATAACCAACCAGACCCTGGATGTGCCATTCCAAATCTTGATCTGGAAAATTCTACTTCACTGGAGGTGCAAAAACATTTAACTTCTGAAGATGAACATGTTGAGCGGGGAAGTTTCGGATTCCTTGAGTCTTGTTTTGGTTTAAAAAGTGCATCACAGAACACTGAGGAATTGAGACACCTGGAACATGCACATGTAAATCAAGTCACTGATTGCAATCAGTTGAATTGCACAGAACCACCAGTTCTACTAAAGATTGCTATTGAAGCTAATGATCAGAAAGATGAAGCCAATCTACAAGAAGATCCTCCAGCACTTAGTGCTGTTCAAGGTTCTGAGAACTCTCTAGTTCCTGGACCACCAATATGTCTGACTGGAAGTGGCACCAATGCAAGCAAGGATTCACTATCTTTGTTAAAAACCCAAAAGAGAAAGCTACAGCCTGTTGTTGTCCTTAAAACAACGGAACAAAAAACATGTGATGGAAAAAATTTCCATTGCTTTGATTGCAAAGAGTCAATGCATAGTGTAGATGAGCTAATTGAACACTATCACTGCATGCATTCTTTCCATAAGGCTGAATATTGTCCTACTTGTCAATGTTTTTTGACTGGTGATGCATTGGCAAAACAGCATTTCTGTGGAGAAGTTGAGCTTAATGACAAGTTAAAATCATCAGCCTCGTATACAAAGAACCTAACTGGGGAGAAACCAAAGTACAAATGTAGGTACTGTGGGAAGATCTTTGTTAAAAAACCTTATTATGTACTTCACGATCTGAAGCACAGAATTGTCACTGATTATAGATGTCCCCGTTGTGGATTATACTTTCCTACAGATAGCCAATGTCAATCACACCAGCACAAAATACGATGCACGCCCTTGCTACTGGAACCTTCTTTACAGACTGCACACTCATCAAAATCAACTCTTAAAAGGAAATATATTCCAAATGTCATTGAAACTGCAGACTCCGATGTAGAACTTCGAAATTGCTATGTGAAATTATTGGATGTTTACAAGAAAAGTGAGTCACCTGAAAAAATACATTGTCAAGTTTGCGGGAGGAATTTCAGGCTCAGAGCACAACTGAAAGCACACCTTAGATCACACTCTGATGAAAAACCATTTAAGTGTGACTGTGGAAAGGCATTCAAATATACTTGGAATCTAAACAAGCATAAAAAACAGTGCTTTCAAAAGATCATCCCTCATTCAACCATGTCAGATTCAGAAAGCAAGACTCCAAAGTTTAAATGCCCCATATGCTTTCGCCTTTTCAATTACTTTTACAATCGGACACGCCATTTACGTGAACAGTGTCTTAAGGAATACATGAGAAAAGGCAAAGGGAAGGTTGATGATAAGTATCGTTGCCCTTTTTGTAAAGATGTGTTTACTATGGCATGCAACCGCAATAGGCACATCAAGCAAACTTGCGTCAAGCTTAAACTCTACACAGCAAAAGTAAGGAAAAGAAAGGAGTTGATATTTTCGTCTAAGAAAAATGAAAGCAAAGAGTCACTGGCTGTGACCTCACAAAAAGTATTGCGGTACAAATGCACATTTTGCTCGGCTATGTATTCAAGCAAGTCTGGTTTCTACACCCATCTTGCGAAACATAAATTGCTTGGAAATTCCAAAAAGGCAATCAAACACAAAAATGGTAGTGATGTTCGTTTAAAAGGTTCAAACTCTGCTGATAATAGCTCAAACCATCCTTTCTCTTGTCGCTTTTGTGGAAAGAATTCATCTTCATCTGACGCGCTAAAAAAGCACTTGAAACTTCACAAAGGAAACAAGCCTTTTCGCTGCTTAGACTGTGGGAAAAATTTTTCCAGACATGGGCATCTGATCTCTCACAAGAATGTGCACAAGCGAAATATACAGTGCTTAGTCTGCTGGGAAGTTTTTTCATCAATTGGAGACTTGTTAAATCACAGAGAGTCTCATCCAAATAAAGGCCTGCTTAAGTGTCCTGATTGCCCATTAAAATTCAGGTTTCCAGTATTTTTCCTTCGACATGTGGCTGTGCATGAAAGACGACACAAACTTATGGCACCTCCTCCAAAAAAAGTTACAACTCCAAAGGACCAAGCTCCATCCTGGAAGGCAGAAGAAACTTGCGAAGAGGAGTTTAAATGTCGCCTCTGCCAAGAAGACTTTGCTGACTCGAAGGCACTTAGTGAGCATTGTTCAATTCATATCCCTGCCTCAACTGTGTCCAAATGTCCATTCTGCAAAAGCAGTTACTCAAGTCATGCTGTTCTGATTCGTCACATTCGTATTCACACTGGTGAAAGGCCTTTTCAGTGTACAACTTGTGGCAGACACTTCAGCAGAAAGGAATATCTTAAAGTACATGAGGAAAAATGTCAAGTAGAGCAACCTCCTTCATTGAAGAAATCAAAGTCTAAAAAAATAAAAGCAGAACGCAGTGTGGACACAGCAATCAACCAGACCAGCAGGCCTTATTTTTGCTCATACTGCCCACATGCTTTTCGTTTTTCGAGTAATTTGAAACTTCACGAAAGAGCCCACTTGGCAAAGACAGTTATGCCTTGTTCAAAATGTGGGAAATACTACAGAAAAAGAAAATATAAGGAACATGTGGAGCTCTGCAAAGGAGGTCAATTACAACCTTCTTGCAGAAAATGTGGAAGAGTTTTTACCAGAAGAAACTACCGAAATGGTCACGAAAAGCAGTGCCAGGGGAATCTGCCAGCTGAAACCATAACTGGAACAAAGGAAAAGCGCAACTTAAAGCATCAATGCCCTGAGTGCTCTAGATGTTTTAGATCTAGCATTTTTCTACAGAGACATCTTTCTCTTCATTCAAAGGCAATGCCATATTCATGCATGCGTTGTGGGCAGAAATTTGGAAGCCAGCATCGATACTTGCAGCACGAAGCTTTTTGTAATGGTGTGTCCAAGCAGCGTAGATTGGAAAGTTTAAAAGGATCTGAGAAAATCAAATCAATCTGTGCCGAGTTAAATAACTTGAAAGATGTCACTGAAGAAAATGGTGAAGATTTGAAGTGCAATTTTTGCACCAAGACATTTTTGTGGGCCAAAAGTTTAAGACGCCACATCCTCACTCATACAGAAGTCAAGCCATACCAATGCAAGAACTGTAAAAGTGGTTTCTCTCGCTATGATCATTTGAAATTGCACCAAGCCCGCTGCAGAGGAAAGAAACAACTTGAGGTGAGAGTACTAAAGATCAATCTTGACCGCTTAAACGAAAGTTCTCAAAGTCAAACGCAGCAAGATAATGAACTGCAGTGCAAAGTTTGCCTTAAGGTGCTTTCCACTCCAAGTGATCTACGACGTCATATGGCGATGCTCCACATTACTGATAAACCTTTTCCCTGCAAACGATGTGGCAAAACTTACAGTTCTGAAAAAACTTTGAAAAGGCATAACGACACCATCAAATGCAAAAGGATTCCAAAGGTAACTGTGAAATCTGCCACAAATGTTCAAAATCAGCCATGCAGAGAAACTTCCAAACTTTTGCAGCGTATACAAGTTCACTACATGAATAAATTGAAATACCAGTGTGACTATTGTCCTCGACGCTTTAAAATGTCAGGACAACTGAAAGTCCATGAACGTCTTCACACCGGGGAAAAACCATATGGCTGCGCCAACTGTGGAGAGCATTTCATCAGAACAGACTATTTGAAACGACACTTGGCCAAATGTAACGGAAGGGTAGAAAATCAAGAAAAGGTGCTTTGTGACAAGTGTGGTGACCTGTTTACCTTTGAAGCACTATCTGTACACCAAAAGACTTGTGTTGTGAATTCAAAATCTCCTGGATCTTCTCGTGTGGTAAAAAAGGACAAGAGCCCCAACAAGATAAGAGGTTTTTCCTGTGCTAACTGTAGTGCCCGTTTTATATTGTTTTCACAGCTCCAACAGCATTTTTTGGCAAAGCACAGGTCTGATCAGCCACAAGTGACCATTAACAATCAACAGCAATTGGTATCAAGTCAACAGCAAGTCATAAAGGAAGAGACAGTTGATGAGGTGCATGGGCAGAAACAAGAAAGCAGCCATGAGGTATCTCGAAGGGAGCCACGTGCACGTTCAAACATAGAGATTATGAAGCCTCTCAAATGCCCACAGTGCAACATGCGGTTTTCCAGGAGTACCGGGCTAGGTATGCATATGCGCATACATAACGGAGCGTACCCGCATTCTTGCACAAAATGCCATATTGGTTTTTGGACCAAAAAGACAATGGAGAAACACAAGAGAAAATGTAGAGGTCACACAATCATCTCAAACAATGCATCTGTCTTGGAAAGTGCAGGTGACGTAGAAAGTGCTCTAAATGACACTGTGCTAGTATTTAACAAGGGTTGTAATGCCACAGGAACTGGAGTACTGCAGACTAAGTTCTCATGTAAAGATCAAGACCAGGAAAATTATGCTGAGAAAGGAGATGCTTCTGTTCACAAGTATCAGTGTTCTGAGTGTGATCAGAGTTTTACAGATGGACTGAGACTTATAAGTCATTTGGAGGAACATGGCCGTGAAGAACAAAAGCGCAAATCAGATGTTCACAAATGCCATGTGTGCAGTAAAGTCTTTGCTCAAGCTGGTATTTTGCACAGGCATTTGAGAGTTCAACATCAGGAAAAAGTGGATTACACATGTAATATTTGTTCCAAGAAATATCGTTTTCCTTCAGACTTGGATATCCATAAAACTTACCATGACCCTAGTCGCCCCCTTGTTTGTACTACCTGTCAGATGCGGTATTGGACTGAAAAAGCCCTGGCCCTTCACCAAAGGATGGCTCATGGACATGTGCAACCACCAAATTCAAAAGAATCTGGCCTGAAAGCAAAAACTGAGCAAGTATATAGATGTGAACCATGTGACAAAACTTACACAATCAAAAAATCATACATAAAGCACTGCCAAGTAAAACATAAACCGGAATCAGTCCAAACTCCCAATGATGAAACAAAAACCTCTACCAGTGTTAGTCAGGCATCGGATAAGGAAGAGTCCGACAGAAATTTCGAAGATGATGATGACAGTGACAATGACTCTGATTCAGCACCCTACTTTCCCTGTCATGTTTGTGGCAAAACATTCTTAACATCGGAAAAACTTGAGGATCATCAAAGATGTCATCTTGGTGAAAAACCCTTTGAGTGTGAAGAATGTGGGAAGTGCTTTGTTCAGCTAACAAACTTGCAGCAACATCAGCGATCCCACAAGTCTGAGTTTCAGTGTCAAATGTGTGGTAAAGGCTTTACCTCTCTCTTTAGTCTGCGCAAACACAAGCAGATGCATGTCAAGAAGAGTGCTCATCGCTGTACCAAGTGCCACCTGAGCTTTACACGTTCAACTGAACTAGCTGAGCACATGATTACCCACCGTGATGAAAACTTTCCTTGTGACCTTTGTGATGAAACCTTTTCCTGCAAAACAAGTCGAGCTGAGCATCGCAAGATGCACACAGAGCAAGAAGAGGAACTTCCACCATTGATTCCACCCAAGCAGCCTGAAACAAAGAAGGTGACTACAGCTATCCACAGTAAGAGTCTTTCATCAAGTAACACTGAGCAGTACAAGTTTCGCTGTGGAATTTGTCAACTAAGATTTCCAGATCCAGAACAGCTCTCAGAACATGGATGCAATCCAGCTAAAGAGCGTCCATACTCATGTCCGGAATGTAACAAGCATTTCTTACATGGTTCCCACCTAAAAAAGCATCAGCTCAGTCATCAGCTGTCAGGACCACGTTGTTATCGGTGTAACCATTGCAACATGAGCTTCACACAACACCACCTTTTTCTCACTCATTTAAGAAGCCATGGAAATGAGAAGGCTTCCAAGAACAGCAACTTTGCAACCAGTGAAAAGATGGTCCATGTGGAAACCAAACGTGACAAAATTTACCAGTGCCCCATATGTCCTTTGAGTTTTTACCAAGCCTTGGACCTTGCAAATCACCTCTCTGTTCATTCTCATATGTGCAGTGTTTGTAATATGACCTTTCCCTCTCAGAATGAGCTTGACGAACATGAACAGTGCCATCTAACTGCTGCTACGCAGTATGAATGCACAGAATGCGGAGACCATTTTATTGGAAGTGATGCTTTCCGCAGGCACCGCTGTAGTAATCGAAGTTTGACATTTTCAGAAAAGCATCGTTCAGAGTCTTCTTCCTCTTACTCTAAGAATCAGAGTTCAAGGACTCTCTTTCAAACAGGTGACGAAGAGGAGGAGGTTGATGTTGGAGAGGACTTTATTATTTGCCCTATCTGTAAAAAAAGGTTCTCTTCTAATAGCAGTTTAATGGAGCACCATAAAAAGCATCATGAGGAGCCACGTCCTTTCAAGTGTTTGGTTTGTCAAAAAACCTTTACGAAAAAACGGTACCTTACACAGCACCAGCAGACACACAGTGAACGGCCTTACCAATGTGAAGTTTGCTCCGAATCTTTTAAATCCGAAACGACTCTAGCAAGTCATTGTAAAATACATGATGCAAAACGGCAGTATCAGTGCCACATATGCAGCAAAACCTATCTTACGTCAAAAGATCTCGCAAAACATCAACAGAAACATTCTGAAAACCTCAGATTCACAGCTCAGGACAGCAGAGAATACCGGTGCGATATGTGCAATAAGTCTTTCACTATGTTCGCTCATTTGCAAAAGCACCAGGAAACCCATGTAGGTCAAGTGGTCTATGAGTGTACGGAGTGTGACAAAGCTTTTGCTTTTCTACATCTTTTAGAGGAGCATCAAAAAACTCATGCCGCTTCTGTTTCCATAGATTCAATTCAGTCCCAATCACCAAGCCATTTCCCCTTCCAGAGCCCAGTAAATGAATAAATTAAAATGCTCAAGTTTCCTGCAATGCAGGTTATTCAATATGATTCAGTTTTCTGAACGATATTTAAAATTAGGTGTACATACAATTCTTTTCTTTTTTTTTCTATGCCAAACTGCTCTTATCCACTTTTGACATATTGCATTGGTGTTTTACTTCTAAATCAGTCTGCTAATGTTACCAATCTACTGTTTTACAGTTCTGTGAACTGCTCACTAAATTCTTTGTACAGTGCTCAGACTGATGTGTATAATAAATGTATGCCAGTTAGATGATGTATTGATCTGTAGGAGTATGTGCATGAATGAGGTGGTTCCAAACCGGATGTATAGTTCAGAATTACGCCTCATTCCTTCATCGTTGAAGTCCTGTTTGACTTTGCTAGATTTACTAGCCATTTACTGTTTTTAAACATCCTTTTGAAAGTAATAGGAAATCTGTAGATTCATGTTAATATTTTTTATTATCCTTGTGTTTCTAAACATTTAAGGTCCAGTTAAGGGGTTATTGAATATTAGTTATCCATATTGTTCATGTCTTTCTAAGTTGGAAAGTGTATTTTGTTACTTAAAAAACATTTACCTTTTTATTGAGTCTAACTTGGATGTTTTTACTCAAAGTAAACAGCAAAAATTAGGCTTGACACATAATACTGTATTTTTCTGTATGAGTTTGAACTACATTAGTGCTGCCATTTCTGTCTGTGTTAACCTGGTGTTTAGTTTTACTTTTGTATTATATGGCAATGTTGAGGATTTCTTCAACTAGTAAAACAATTACATCTACCTTCTTGTAGCTTGTGCAATTTGTTTTTTTCTTGCTTTGACGAAGCTTTAGGTCTTCAAATTTAATTGCTGCGTTATTAAAAGTTTGAGTCATATAATCTAAACCAAAACCTGTTCCTGGAGGCCTGCAGCTCTGCAAAGTTTAGTTTCAACCCTAATTAAATACCTGATCAAACTAATTGATTCCTTCAGCCCTGTTTGAAACCTACAAGTAAGGGCCTACTTACACTGTGCTATCCGAACCATGCTCTGGCCCATTTCCTGATTCGTTTGAGAAGTGTGAGTGCTCTGAATCGTGCTCAGGCACAGTTCACTTGGCCGGCCCTGGCCCGGTTGGAAGACGTGTGTCTGAGCGTGGTTCACTTGGGCTTTAGCGCGCTATGCTTGTGTGTGAGTGCAAAACATGCCTAAGCCCGAAACTGAAAGCAAGACGTGACTTTTAAGGGACAGTTTTATATGGATTCATTAATCATTCTTACTGTTCAATGAACACAAACTGTCGTGATTTAATAAAGAGGCAAACTGCTCACTGCATGGCAGTTGCACCTTCAGCAAACCTAATTCCTGCAGCACGAGGACTTAATGATTGTTTATGAGCGTCAAAAGTGGCTGATCTGTTCGGCAAAATATTTGACTGCACGTCACCGCATCCCAAACGACTAAAATAATAAACTAGAGAAATCTCCACTGTGCTGAACGAGAGCGCTTACTGAACAGCGCATCATCAATGACACAAGTGTGCCCAGGCCAGAATGTAATGTGAATGCAGGCCGATGGGGGAGACGGGAGGGGGACTGGCATGCTTTGGCTTGGTTCAAGGCAACTGTACATAGTGTGAGTATGCCCTGGGGCGGACTGGCCATCTGGCAGTTCTGGCAAATGCCAGAAGGGCCAGAGCATTTTTTAAATGTTGGCCGGTCAGTTTTTTTATTTTTAATTAATTTATTTTTATTTTTTTATATATGTATTTTTTTACATGCAGGCTGCTTTTATCTCTTACAAGATGTGCAATATTATCATGAACATATAATAATAATAATAAATGTTAAGGTCCAATCGACGATGGCCGGCTGGTTTTGAGATGGGACGACCTAACCAGAGGTTACACGGACGTTGTCAAAATCTGGCAAGAATGTGAAACAAACAATAAGTGCCACACAAGCTAATTGTCAGAGATGTACTGTAAAAAAAGGAAAGGTGGTGCGGAAAAGCTCAGAGAAAGCAAAAAAAAAACAAAAAAAGAGGGGGGGGGGCTCTAACATGAGACTCTGCCAAATGCATAAAATTAACTAAAATATTCTTGAAAGGTTTAAATTCTGCTGCTGCATCAAAGGACAGTAGCGTGGTAGAAGAGGTAAGAAGAAAACAGAAAATATACTTCTATCTCATTATACTAAAACATACCAAGTAATTTTCATGCGATTCACGCTACTTCTGACAGTTTGTGACAATAACCTACAGTGTTTAACAGTTGTAAGCTTGGCGTAGAACTCCTGTACATTTTAATATGTCATTATCAGCTGGTAATGTGGGGTTTAGGGAATACAGACTGCTGAATGCTACTAGCCATATATAGCTAGTGTTTAAAGTAAAACATTAAATACATGCAGGTAACAGTATGTAATTAATCCTCACATTGTCAGAGACAATCTGCAATCAAACCAGAATTATTTTGATTCTTTATTCTTACCACAAAGTTTCTAACAAGTACCGAGCATGCAAGTGCTAACAATCACTTTGGGGTTTCCATGTGGGTTGGTGTATGTGTGTGGTCTACAACAAATTAGAATAAACTAAACACTTCCATGTACAATCAACATGAGTATGAGATCACTGATTGCCAGAAACACTTCAAAATAGAAGCTCATGTCAGCCTTTTTAACACTGGCTCTAATTAACGATAAATTAACCCTTATGATAGGAGTAACCTGTGGATGTGTTTTACACACACATACACGCAAATGGAGATGCAGCACTAGCAACGCTTCAGCATACTTCATTTCACAAATAACTATATATTAAGAAGGATTCAAAAATGTATGAATCTGCAGGTACACAGAAATATTGCTGTGTTTTTCTTTTTTTTGCTATACTATTCCTTTTGGTGCTACTGTTATTACTTAATTGTATTAATGTGTATTCAGGGTTTCAGTGGGGTCTTAAAAAGTCTTAAAATTTAAAAACAAAATTTTAGGCCTTAAATAGTCTTAAATTCACTGAAATATTGTGTTGTAGGTCTTAAATCATTTTAAACAGGTTTTTATTTCCATCTGTCCAAGTACCCAATCTGGCCAAATCAGTTTTTAATTGCAAAAAGATTCCATTTATAACATCCGTTACATTTTTTCAGCAAATTCTCCAAATTAAATTCCCTAATCAATGAAAGAAAACTAAAGCATCACATCCCTTTACGCGATCTTCCATTAATACAAAAACTATTAACCAAAGTTACCAGACCATTAGAAAAAATCCTCAGTGTTTAGCCCTGTATTTCTAAAATTTTATTCATAATGGTCTTAAAAGGGTCTTAAAATGTCTTCAATTTGATTTGTTGAAATCTGTAGAAACCCATGTTGAGAGCAGTCAGTTAGAAAACATTTAGCTGCAATCTTTACATCCTATACTGTGTTTATTAGGGTTTTGCCAATACCAGTATTGTGAGAAAGGATGCTAGGTTAGGCCTATAGCAGAGACAGGGGGGAGTGTGGTCGATTACAAATAGTTATTTGTGAATAAAAGTATGCTGAATGTAGTGCTGCATGTCCATTTGTGTGTAAAGGTGTGCGTGTGTGATACACATTCACAGGTTACTCCTATCCTAAATAGCAGACAACTTGTATAAACAGACAGCATACAGAAGATTCACAATCATTTTTATTTAGTTTTTATTGTGTGTATAAATTTGTTATAAACAGGTTGTTTTTGTTTCAGACACATACATTAAAAGTTTAAATATCTATTACATATGGTTCTATTATTTTACCATCTGTACATGTAGTGAATGTGCGTGTCCGTCTGCAGGGCTGTGTTGGCCCTCCAGGAACTGGCTTTGACACCTGTGATCTAAACTGTTACGTTTGTGAATTCTGTTAGAAGTGTAAACTCTTGATATACAGAAATATTCTTATTGTCAAAAGCATTAATTACACTTGAGATGTTTATATATCTGACAAACAATTTGTTTTAAAAATTCAAAAGGTTTCATCACTTGAGCTTGATTTATCACTATATAAATTAAACATTTGATTTAAGATTTTTCTTTTGTTACATGATGATGATCTTCCAGACATTACATACTGTAGTAACTACCATTCATGCCACTAAGCTATCATAGCTGTTGGTTCAGATTTAAAAAGGCATTTTACCTCTATATGTGAGTACACATGAAGTAAAACACTCATCAGGTCATACAATTTGCCTGTATTTTTAATTTAACTCAGCAATGTTGATTGTGGTTGAATTAGATTTTTTATTTTTATTTTGTATGAACACCACATAATCACCTGCAATAATTTATACAATTAGTCCAGAGTTGATGATGCTTGCATAGTTTTAAGCAACATCTATATCTCAAATTTAGTTTGACCTGTGTATGGATTATTTACAGTTTTAACCCAAAGAATGAGCAGACTGTCAGATAAAGAAGTGCTAGAGTCAGAGATTTAAATAAATAAAGTTTACTGAAGATAGTTTGCGCACACACACACACACTTAAAGTACAATATGTTTCTTACCCAAGGCTGAGTGTACTCTCGGCTGTCTTTATCAAAACTGGTTAAAAGCCGGTATAATCTACATTCAGGCAGTTATAATATACTTACTACACAAAGTCTATCTTGAATAAAAAGGAAAATCACTTTAAAATAATTAATGGTAAAAATAGCAAAATCCCTTTAGACATTGTAGATAGTATAAACTCATAGAAATAACTAGAAACAGTTGCTTCCAGTCCTCAGCCCTTCAGTTACACTCAAGGTCTCCGTGAACTCTGACCTAGTTTGCTGGCTCCTGAAAATAGTTACCAAGAGACAGGCAACTGCACTGAACATTCTTACATTAAGCAATGTGTTGACTTTATTCATTATTCTATAATCATCTTTAATAAAAAATAATGAGAAACAGGATGATGAGAAAAGGATAAACAATGATCCATGTTGAGATGGATTGGAAGGTAGAAATCTGAATCCTTCACCTGAAGGTGACTGTGATGTTTAAAGTATATATCAATAAGGTAATTCTGACTCTGATGTACTAAATAGTGCTCATGTTTTACTGACCTCTCTAAACGTATAAAGGTGGTATTGGCCATTTCCAACCAAGCAATGTTGTATTTAATACAGTCTAATAGACGTCTAAATATTGAGTAGTTGTAAAAACTAGAGTAGTCACCAAATAGGAAGATTAAACGGACTTCTAAGTACATTTTTAAGCTATTAAATGTCTATTTGATTTTTACTAATCAAAGTCCAAATTTAACCTTCTGTCTATTCAACTTTTTTTTAACACAACAAAATGTTTGCTGGGTTTTGTAAGACTAAAAAGAAGAACACTTTACAGGATTAAAAAAGGCAAAAAAAAGTTCAGCATTTTTTTTTAATTATTATTATTTTCTTTAATTGGTGATATCTGACCCTCTCCTTATATTTTTTTAAACCGGGGGCAACATTAAATGTATTGGTGCCTGTTCATGTTAACTCACAAATATTTTAATAGATTTATTTAGAATAAGACATTATAGGGCTGTGAGTGACCATGTTCAATGCACATATGCAAGTGATATGGAGTGTATTACTTGGAGGAAAGGTTAGCATTACTCTTAGCACTGAAGTTTTAAATACAGTACACAGAGTTGTTTTTAGGTGGTTGACAAACAGGCAGTAAAATGCTTTTAAATATAATTTTGTATTTTTTATTACTTTTAGGTCAGTTTTGTCAAATATAGGAGTCACTAACTTTATCAATTTATACACTTATTTATTTATAAAAAAAAATGTACTGAA